ACACATTTGAGCGAAATAGAGAACCTATATGCAGGATTTCTATAGCAACTAAACATATTTGAGCATAATGACACATTTTGAGCAAAGTAGAGAACCTATAGGCAGGATTTCTATAGCAACTAAACATATTTGAGCATAATGACACATTTTGAGCAAAGTAGAGAACCTATAGGCAGGATTTCTACCCATTTCAATGCAAGTGTTAAGATAAACCCCATTTTCCCAATTTTACTAACACCCCAAATATTATTACATGATTATTATTGCAGACCCAATGAATGGCATAAATTACAAAATAAAATAATTATAGGGAGCCTACAGCAGGCCCAAAGATACACCAGCTAGGCCAGGCCTTCATTCAACGGCCCAGAAATTACATCCTCATTGATATAAGGCAGCCAGAAACCAATTGATTCAGCCAGTAGGTGAAAAACAGAGTTGAGTAACTAGAACCATGCCCCTAGTATGTTAGAGTTCCCAATGGCCTCAAGAACCTAAGGTAGTGCTCACACTAGGGATGTGGATAGAGGAAATTCAGAGAATAACTAAGGACCAAGTCCTAGTGTGTCAGAGTTCATAAGGATCTCAATTGGACCCCGAGCAGTGCTCACACTAAGGAGGTTAGATGATAGAACCTAAATAGCCTTGGCTTTCAGCCGGCTAAGAATGAGAACTCAAAGAGCCCAAGTAACAAGTGAAAAATAGGGGACCAAGGTTGAGAGATAGGAATTGAGGGATTTAAACAAATACAACCAAATTGAGCATATAGAGCAAACAATCGAACAAATCACAGAATTTTAAAAGCAAGCTTAACAGAGACTTAGAAACAGGTTCAACATTTAGTACAGAGGCAGCCACATGCTAAAAAAGCTAAGGAAAGAACATATTTGTAGGATTGAAAAGGATTATTATGCACAGGTGCACAATACTAAACAAGTTGAAACATGGTTGGAAATTATGCTAAGTATACAAGAAACAAGACAGCATTGTGATAAACCAAGTAAGCACAGAAGGAAAGAGCATCAAGTGGGTCAAAGACATATTGCGAGACATGTTAGTAGAGGGGCAATATCACATTCACTAGAAAAAGTCTCAAACAAATTAGGACACATAACATATGCAAGACTATCACTACAGAGATTCTGAATAGAATGGAAGGTAAACTCATGTCAAGTAGCAGATATAGGCATTCAGGCATTGCCATAGTAGACTAATTAACTAAAGCAGATCCAGTTGTATCAAATATTCATCCTAATACCAGTTCCAACATGCTGAGACAACTGTTCTGAATCACAGGCAAATACTAAAGGGGTATGGGATCGAGTGAGCATGCTGAGTGACACAATAGTAGGGAGGCAAATTATAACTAACAATGAAAGTCTTAATACGTATTACTACAGATGTGAGGCATTCATTACAGAGATTCAAATCAAGTAAACAGGTTCATGAATATTCAGGCATCAACACACTAGCTAAACGATCCTAGGAAGATTCAGATTACCTAATTAGGCGTAGATAATCTCAGAATTAGTAGCATTAAGAGTAATTAAATGCTAAAGAGACTTAAAACGTGTGTGTAGTTACAGAGCGATGCTTAAAAGTAACCCAAAAATGTATTAAGCCATGTATTCAGAAGTAAGAACGCATGCAAATCAGAGACATATAAGGATGAAATTGCAAAAGTCAAGTAACTTACCAGTTAAATGAAAATGTAAGAAAGAACAAAAGTCCAGAGTATTCTGATCATCAACGAGAAGCAAAAACCTAGAATTTAATGGCCTTGGCTTTTAGCCGGACAAAACCAAAGTATAAGATGAAATAACAGAGTAAAGATTTTAGATCTAATGAGGTTATAATGATTCCAAAACCTGTCCTAAAGGGGAATGGGGAAAGGGTTTATATAGTGTAGAAATCGAACAAATAAGTATGGAAAATAAATTATTCAGACACAAACAAGGGAAAAATAATCTAGAATCAATTAGAATCAGTTTTAGGGCATAAATCAATGGGATTCAGTAAATCAATAGGGAAACATACAAATAATACCAAAAATAATTTAGAGTCAAATTTAAGGCAAAGAATAAAGTAGAAATTAGGAAAACATAAGGAAAAAGAGTAGTCAATCACACAAAAAAAAATATCGGTTAAGAATCGGTAAGGAATAAAGGGAAATTCAAACCCTAGTTGATAGAAATCGAAGATTGGCCAAAATCTAATCAGACCCATATAGCCATGGTCGTGAAGTATATGGATGAGATTCATGTCCAAATTCAAGCGGTCAAAAGGAAAATGGCCGGAATCTAGGATATAGTACTTGCCATGTTTAAGCAAGTACTAGGAGATAACATAAATTCGTAGGAGATGGCGATATAACACACAATAGGTAAGAGAATCATGGAAAAATCCCTGGTTGAGACGAATTCAGAGAGGCTTATTGATAGGCAGCTAGGGTTTCTGTGAGAGGGAGGGTTGTTTGAAGGTGGCGACTAAAGAGAAAGGGGGATTGGGGTTTGGGGTCAGGTGATATAAGGAAAGGGGGAAAGGTGTTGTGAGTCGTTGATCATTTTTTATCAACGGCTGGGGTTTGAGAAGGGTTGGGATCAGTTTTGGACTGGGTTGGGTCTCTTACGATTGGGCTGGGGTTATTGGGCCAAGGTCTGGGTAGTGTAGGTCCAAAATTAAGGTGAATTTGGGGCCAGATTTTAAATACCTAATATTTTAACAAAAAATAATTTATAAAAGAAATTAATAAATATAAAAAATATCATTTGTGCACTAAAATAATTAAAAAGAATTACTTAACATTATAAAAAATAAAAAGTCAGTTTATGCATAAATAATATAATTATACATTAATATGGGCTATTATTGCAAAGATGTACAATTTAGCCTTAAAAATGCAAATGTAATTATAAAAATGTACTGAAAAATATTAAAATATTATGTTGGTATAAATGATAAGTTTAAACGATTAAATCATCATAAAAATAGTTTGAAAGATAATTATTAGATATTTATATATAATAAAATGCAGGAATAAATTGGTTTAAAACCTTTAAAAATTATAAAAAATTATGAAAAATATTTGTGTATGCTTATAAATCAAATGATGACTCATATGCACTATTTTTTAAGTGTATGTATATATATTTAAAATATGAGAGAAAAATTGGGTATCAACAAAAGTTTTTGGGGGGAAATTTAAGTTTTCAAACTTACTCATATTTTTGACGATTTCGGTAAAGGATTTAGGTTTTCACTACTATACTTGAAAAGCGGAACTATTTTCAAAATTATGAATAAGCTGAGCATTTTGAATTCCGAGTTATTTCTTTTATTATTTGCTTTACGTTATTATGAATTGTTGTTGGCTATTGGTGTTGGACTCGACCTTTATTACAGTTCGTCACTACTTTCAATCTAAGGTTAGGTTTATTACTTACTAGTACATGGGGTTGGTTATACTGATACTACACTTCTACACATTGCGTGCAGATGTTGGTTGTTATTGTTGCTGTGTTCGATGGTTGCTGGATTTGAAGATGTTCCTGCGTTCCGGTTGTAGATGCCTCTTGTTCATCGTAGCCGTAGATTTATGAAAACTCTATTTATGTACGTTTTAAACAGAAGATGTATTTACTTCATATCAACTTTGTAAATTCTATTCTTAGAAGCTCATGATTTTTAATACCAGTCCTTGAGAAATGTGTAAGATTCAGATAATTCATTTGTTTAATTGTCTTTTTTTATATTATTGAAATTGAATAGTTATTAATTGGATTGCCTAGCAGATTGGACTAGATGCCATTACGATTAGTGAATTTTGGGTCGTGACAGTTATTATGTGGTAAGCTTATACCTACTTGCTTACTTTCCGAAACTGATATCTTTGTGTACTATATTCTATTAAGAAATAAGATTTCTCCACTATATGCTTGAGACCGCTAAGATGCACATTTGGTAGCTGTTCAGTCGTGTTTTAATGTACTAATTAGTTTGAATTGCTTCTCTTATCAGTAATTTTCCGGCGTAGATCTATTGTATTTAAGCTGAGGGTCTTGGAAACAACTTTTCTATCCACTCTAGGATAGGGGTAAGGTCTGCGTATACTCTACCCTCCCCAAATCTACTGATGAAATTTTACTGAGTTGTGTTGTTGTTGTTGTCCACCTACCTTGCTGTGTCTCTCCTCGCTAATTTTGAGATTACTGAATCACCAAAAAAAAAAAAAAACAAATAGTGTACCACTTTCGATTTTAGTTGGTTGCATATCTTGTTGTCACCAAATAGTGAACCACTTCCGAATCTCAAGACTTAGATCATCGACTGTATTTCTTTAATAGCTGAACAATGTCCTAAGGTGGAAGAAATTACTGTAATTACTTGATTTGTTTTGTGCAAAATGCTGACTGTTGGAAGTATCTTTAGTCTAAATATTCTAGAGAGGAGGGGAGAGATGAGAGAAATAAGGAAAAATGGTGTAACTAAATCCCTTAATTGAAGGCACTGATAAAGAATTATGAGTCTTTTAAGGTGGAATGTATATAATTTGTAAGTAATCCTTGTTTAGGGCAGGTAATATACAAAATTAGAACACTTATAGTAAGTAAGTTTTAAATATTATATAAGAATGAAAAAAATCCCTTTTTGGCCTTAAGTGTAGGAAAACGGTTGTTGCACTTCAAACCTTTTGGCCTTAAGTGCATCTAAAGTGTAACTTCTCACTTCATGCTTATTTGCCTTAAATGCATGAATTAGTTATACTTCATACCTATTTGGCCTTAAGTGTATCTGAAGTGCAATTTTTTCGTTTTCGACCCAATAAGTCTGAAGTTGATCATAAAATGAATAGACTGACAAAAAAAAATTACAGAACAGATATAAGTTCAATTATAACCCCAAAATCGGGTATAAAAGCCGTTTTGGGCCTATTTACATCTGAACCCAAATAGCAAAAGGGAGACAGCCCATAATATTCGGCCCATGTGACCACCGAGCCCTCAGTCTTTTCACCATCTAAAGCTTTCTACTGCTCACTTTCAGCAAAAATGGCGTTAAGTGCAGCGATGCTACGGACCGGCGGGACCATCGCCGGCGTTAACTCCGGTCTCCGACGATTTCTTCACATCACGGCCCGACCTTCGCCTCTAGATAGCGTGGTTAATCAGCCGACGGCTACATCACCGTCGTTGGTTTTGCCTGAAAATGATAATAAGAACAACAGTAACAGTAACATAGGATATATGTTTCCAAATTCACCTGTCATTGGTGGGTCCATGGAGCTTATGGCTGTTCCTAAAAAGAAGGTTCGATTTTTTTTCCTTTGACTTTTGGCACCAAGATGAATTTCTTATAATAGTAAAAAAAATCTAAATTTAACTCAACCAATATGATTATCGTGAAGTTTTTCCCTAAAAGATATTGTGGGATTTTGCTTTGTGGCTCTTAAATTCTTGCATATCATGCTCATTTGGCAGATTAGGTTCACTATGTACTCATTTATCCATTGTTTCACTTGTATTTGTCATTGACCGGTCATTTTGGTTCTGTAGACGATCATAGTTGGGGAGGTTAGTACATTTGTTTTTTGTTTTTTTTTTTTGTATTACGGTTGTTCTGCATTTTATATAATATAGGACTGAGATGAGCTTAAATAGTGCAACATGAATAGTAAGGATTCATATAGCCAACCCCAACTTGCTTGTGATCAAGGCATAGTTGTTTTGTTGTTGTGTTTGTGTGAACTTTGAAGTTAATATTGTATAGTTGGCACTGGGCTATTGTGTAACTACAAGATTTCTCTAGAGGAATCTCAACTACTTTTAAAGCTATTTGGCATTTTGCATATAACATCAATCACTGCTGAGTAGATATAATCAATTCTTTAAAATCTTTCTCTGCGTGCTGCTTCCCTTATTTCGGTTCTTTTAGTTTTGTGTTCTCTCAAAAACATTTTACCTGGCACATACTAGGAGATATCCCTTTGGGTTGCGATATGGCATCTAGGAACTAAAGGTACTCTTTAATACTTAAGCTTGATTGGCTGTGTGGATTAGTTAAGTACATGTAGTCTCTAGTTAAACTTGAAGTTTAATCCATTGAATCCCTTAAGATTTCTGCTAATAGGATAGATTTATAGTACTGAAATCATAGGAATTATTGAATCTTTGCCTGTTCATAGCAATTAGAGGCAATATAAGCTAAATGTCTTAACAAATATTCTGAAGTTAGCTGCCACTTAGGACTGCTGTAAACACATTCGGCTGACTTTATGTGCTGAGTAGTAGCAAGGATGATACGCTTTCACACATTAAAGGATATTTATATAGACGGAAACTCCTCTCTCTTCTTGCTGCTGCAGTCTCTGTTCCATATTTTTTTCTTTTCTATCTTTTTTTCCCTTGAGGATCAATGATAGATCGGGATCTGATCCTTGTTCCATTAAATGCCATTGTTCTTTACTACACTAACTGACTAACCATTTGTGATGCTCTTTTCTTTGGTTGCGCATATTAACTAGGACTTTTTTAGATTTCCGTAGTCCGTTACATGTGTGCATAACATGAATACATGCTCTGAAGTTGTGTGGGGGGGATTGTTTGGATGTGGGATGGTGCTCTCTGGGAGGGGATGAGTTGAAGAATTTACATCTGACTGCATTTCTTTTATGGGTTGTGGTTGATGATGCAGGTTTCCCCTCACAAGAGAGGCATAAGGAATGGACCAAAGGCTCTAAAACCCATTCCAGTGATTATTCGATGCAAGTAAGAGCTTTTCCAGCAAAAGTAAACAAGTTGTATTTGAAATGTTTAAACTTGAAGCAAAATCCGCAAAGTGTCATTTAACCTGTACACTCTTGAATTTAGAAGAGCTGATTTGAATTTCTTGACAAAACATATATGCTTTTATGATCTCTGTAAAATGAAATTAACCTAGTTTTCAAGGGCAAGTTTTTATAATTTAAATATGAAAATACCTTAGCCAGTACAAAATTAAAACAAACAAAATAGAGCAATAGAGGAGGTTGCAAACCAATGAATCCAAGAAAGTTAAGAAGGAAATAGAGTATTCAGATGACAACTCTGTGTATTGCGTTTACACATTGGATTACTTAGCTTTTTTTGCCTTTGTTTCGTTGACGTTTTGTTACCTTTCTTTTGGATGTTTAATTAACTTTTTCTTTTTTCTTTTTATACTCCTGTAGTTCTTGAAATTTTATACTGATAAATGTATGGAAGCATTCAATGTGAGAACTTAAACCAAGGCAGTACTGTCTCATTGAAAAATTAACTGTTTGGAGACGTACAGTTGTCTCCTATTTGGTTCTTCGGTTTAAACTAAACACATTTTCAGTCCCAGTTGTCAATTGCAAGTCAGAAACATCTCTGATTAGGTCCTATTTTANAAATGTGTTCTTTCCGGTGATGGCGTTGTTGCCTTATTATCAAAGTGCCATGTGTTGGGGGTGCATTGGTTTAACTGTGTTTTGAAGCAGATGACGGTTAAATTGTTTTAAAATCATACTGTACAGAATTCATCGATAACTATGAATGGAAAGCAAAATATTAGTCATGCCATCCGTAATCCTAGCATAAAAGTCATGAGTAGGTCATTCCTTCATAAAGTTGTTTGGTTGATTTTCTAAATAGATGAATTTTAAATTTTATGTGGTCTGAGGTGTATCTTGCTGAACTTAGCATACAAGATATTATGGGCATGATCTCTTAATGTGTTCTTGTTAATAATCTATCATTGTATCCTTGTTTTGCAATTGTACAAATTCCACTGGAGCTGGTATTTCAGAGTTTATAGTGATTATGATGCTTATCTTAGTCAGTAGTAATTTTATAGGCAACCATGATGCTTATCTATGTTTATACTTAGGAAGGCAATGGCATAAAATCTGATGTTTCCTTCTACTATTATCTATCAATTTTATTTGAAATATTTTTGACAGAAAATATAGAAAATCAGCATGTGCTCCCAATTCTTTCTGATTTTATTTATGTCCTCCAGTTTCCTTTTCCTTGTTTCAAGTACCACAGGTATGAATAATAACACTGTTGACAACATGTTGATGCAAACAACTTGCAGTGCTTGTGGTCGAGTCAAATTGCCACATTTCTTTTGTTGCAGTGGGATTAAGCAGAATCTTGGTGAAGAGAACAACTCGGCCGGTTGATCAAATTTAAGGAAACATCCAACATATCTAAATCCTTTTCTTTCTGGTAGAATCTTCAATTAGAAATGTGTTCTTTCCGGTGATGGCGTTGTTGCCTTATTATCAAAGTGCCATGTGTTGGGGGTGCATTGGTTTAACTGTGTTTTGAAGCAGATGACGGTTAAATTGTTTTAAAATCATACTGTACAGAATTCATAACTATGAATGGAAAGCAAAATATTAGTCATGCCATCCGTAATCCTAGCATAAAAGTCATGAGTAGGTCATTCCTTCATAAAGTTGTTTGGTTGATTTTCTAAATAGATGAATTTTAAATTTTATGTGGTCTGAGGTGTATCTTGCTTAACTTAGCATACAAGATATTATTGGCATGATCTCTTAATGTGTTCTTGTTAATAATCTATCATTGTATCCTTGTTTTGCAATTGTACAAATTCCACTGGAGCTGGTATTTCAGAGTTTATAGTGATTATGATGCTTATCTTAGTCAGTAGTAATTTTATAGGCAACCATGATGCTTATCTATGTTTATACTTAGGAAGGCAATGGCATAAAATCTGATGTTTCCTTCTACTATTATCTATCAATTTTATTTGAAATATTTTTCACAGAAAATGTAGAAAATCAGCATGTGCTCCCAATTCTTTCTGATTTTATTTATGTCCTCCAGTTTCCTTTTCCTTGTTTCAAGTACCACAGGTATGAATAATAACACTGTTGACAACATGTTGATGCAAACAACTTGCAGTGCTTGTGGTCGAGTCAAATTGCCACATTTCTTTTGTTGCAGTGGGATTAAGCAGAATCTTGGTGAAGAGAACAACTCGGCCGGTTGATCAAATTTAAGGAAACATCCAACATATCTAAATCCTTTTCTTTCTGGTAGAATCTTCAATTAGAAACTCTAGGAAAAACTCATATCATACCGCATTCTGTAACAATAGTATAGTTGTTGCAGCATATACTCAATTGCATGTTAAGTAGATAGCCTCTTTGGTGCTATTTTTTTTTTTTTTGGATAAGCAGGGATCTATTATATTATACTAATGATATAAGGTAGTAGCTACATTGACAGAGTCGCCCAACGGGGCCTTACCTACTTGGCTATTACAAAGCCTTACCTACTTGGCTATTACAAAGCATTGAAAAGTCACGGAGGACATTGTTTCCAAAAGAAGCAAGCTTAGTGCATGTATCCTTCCTAATATTCTTAACTAGATAGGTAGTAGCTTCATAATCAGTTGCTAAGACGACGATTACAAAATGTGGTGGATAGTTCAAAGTTCCGAGATCCTTGCCATTGTTTACACGAAGTTCCTTAGCCAGCTTGTGTGCTGGTTTGTTGGCCTCTTTGAAGTTGTGCTCCACTGTTTGAACTTTCACCTGGTGCATCAATAACCTACAATCATGAATAATATTGTTAAGTAAAGTGTAACCATGTTGTAGACAATTGATGAGATCTGTGGAGTCTGTCTCCACATCAATGTTGGTAAAACCCTATTCCCTTGCTAGTTGTAGGCCTTTCCTTAATGCCATAAGTACTGCATGCAGGGGAGATAGACCATATGAAGAGCCCTGGAACCCCAGCACCCATATGCCATTGCTATTTCTAAATAGATCACGAAAGCCACATGTGGATATTACGTTATTGAAGGAGCCATCTATATTAAGCTTAATATGGTTAGCAATAGGTTTTATCCATTTAACAGAAATAGGGATGCCTTGAAGCATAGATTCTTTTTCAGTAAGGAATTTGTGTTCAATTGCTAACTTGTAAGGATAGTATATGTACGCTTTGTTTGTAGTGTTGTTATAAAGGTTGTTATTCCTGTTTGTCCAAATATACCATATCTCAAAAAGGAGCATATCATGTCAATCTATGTGGCCCTTTCTTAGAGAAATGTGAGAGTTCACGAATATTTATCAATAATTGATTAGCCGAGTTGTAACCACTCGTGTTGATGCCTAACTGATGCTAGAATTCCTTGACTGTTGTGCATTAAGTAGGTTTTAATAGGAAGTTTGTTGTGGAGGCATTTTCATGGGAGGAATTTTATTTTGTTTGGACATTTTAAATCCCAAATTCAATTGAAATCTTGAGTTATGTTGGGGTGGTTGTCCAGGAGGGTATAGCAAGTTTACTAGAGAAAAACCCATTTGTGGTTAGTCACAATTGAAGTTGTTAGGAATGGTAGCTTTAATCTTGTTTAATAAAGAAGCATAGATTTGTAGAGAGATTTTTGACAAGTTCCACTAGTTGTTAACCCATAAGTCCTTAATAGAGAGTAGATTTTCATTCTGGCCTAAAGGACCGTGGATACATTAGTGTAATGGAGGACTTTGGTGGATCCAACAATTGTCCCATGCATTTAGAGGAGAGAGCTTGTGGGGGATCCAAGTAATCCCTTTACTACAAATCTCTCACCCTTGGATAATATTTTTCCAAATAAAGGAGCCATTATTACCATTATTTCCATTACCATGTAGTTCGTGGATAATCTTAACCCAAGGTGAGTGGGCATTTGCTAGAAGTCTCCAAGCAAGATTAGTTAGGTTAACTAAGTTCTTTTTTCTAGCAGAATAGATTCCTAAACCACTCTTTTCTCTGCATGGTGATAGTGTCCCATTTTATTAGGTGGAGCTTTTTGGAGGTAGAATTTGTGCCCCATAAGAAATTACGTTGAATTTTGTCAATAATTTCTAGGGTTTTGGAGGGCAGTAGGGAATATTGCATAATGTGGTTGGGGAGAGAATTTAGGCATGAGGTCGCTAAGGTGCATCTCCCAGCCATTGTAAGGCAATTCGATTTCCAAGCAGCTAGTCTGTTTAGCATGTTATTAATAACAAATTGAAAATCAGGCGCTCTAGGTTTGAAATTAGTAATTGGAAAACCTAGGTATTTACCAAAGGAGTGACAAATATTCATTTTAAGGACATTAGAAATGTTGTTGCAAACATTCCTAGGGCAGTGTTTGGACACAACAATTTTGGATTTTGCTCTATTGACGGATTGCTCAGACAAGGAGCAGAAGAGGTCAAGACAATGCTTAATATTATGGATGGTTTTATTATTAATTCTAGCCATTAAGGTAAGGTCGTCAGCAAAAAATAAATGCGATAACTGGTAATTATGTTTTCCTATGCTTATGGGGTCCTGTGTCTTATGTCAACATTATGGTTGATGAGAGTGGATAACATCTCCATACATAGAATAAACAGGTATGGGGACATAGGGTCCCCTCGCCTGATACCACGTTATGGAACAAAATAGTCAGTTTTGGAGTCGTTCACAAGGATTGCAATCCTTGAAGAGGTAATACAATTCATAATGAGCTTCGTAATATTGGGGGGGGGGGGAATTAAAGAAGTAAAGAGTTATGTAGATGAATGACCATTTAAGGCAATCAAAAGCCTTAGCTAGGTCAATTTTTAAGATCATATTATGATTTTTTTCCCCGATATTTGTTCATTTTGAGCAAGAGCTCTTGAATGATAATAGCATTGTCATATGCCTTTCTGTTTTTAATGAAACTAAATTGAAAAGAGCTAATGAGGTTGTTCAGGAACGGCTTTAATCGGTTAGAAATAATTTTAGTAATGATTTTGTAAACAGTGTTACAAAGTCCAATTGACCTAAAGTTTTTTAAATTGTTTGTATTGGGGATTTTTGGAATGAGGCATAGAAGGGTGTCATTAATACCTTCTGAAATTTTCCACTAGTGAACATCTTTACAGAGATTGATCACAGAGTTTCCAATTATGTTCCAATAATTTTGGAAGAAAAAGGAGTGAAGCCCATCCGGGCCTGGAGCTTTGTAAGGTTTAAAGGAGAAGCAAGCTTGGATAATTTCACTGTTTGTGAGAGGATTATCTAGAGGGGATAAGTCTATTTTATTGTAATTTTTTGGATCAGACTTTATAGATTTCCAGTCACTAATGGTTTGAGAGGTTGTGAACATGTGACTAAGATAATCCCTAGTGTGATTAAGGATGGCATGCGAATCATCTATCCAATTGTTATTCTCATCCTTAAAGAAAACTATTTTGTTTTTTCTTCTCCTATTAGTGGCCATAATGTGGTAGAATTTTGTATTCGCATCTCCATCGTTGAGCCATTGGATTCTATATTGGAGTTTCCAGTAGTCCTTTTCAATTTTTAGGACGTTATTATAATCAACTCTTAGAGTGACTTCTAAATTTTGAAGAAATAAACTAGAATAAAAATATGTGAAATTTTGAATACCTCTAAGCCTAGCTAAAATTCTGTTTTTCTTTCGTTTGAGGTCACCAAAGGTATTGTTCTTCCAGGTATTGACTAGGGATTGAAAGGAGGATGAAGCTGTTACAAAATGGTTACTAGACCATGAAGAAGCAACTAGATTCCTAAACTGCGGGTGCTTGCAACAAAAGGGTTCAAGACGAAATGGCTTTTGAAGGTTAGTGTATTGCTTAGGGATAAGATTTAAAAGTAACGGATTATGATCTGAGTGAGTTTTTGCTAGATGAGTTATGCTAGCATTTGAAAAAATTTGGATCCATTGCTCATTGCCAAATACTTTGTCAAGTCGTTCCATAATTAGACTATTGTTATGAAATCTATTATTTGACCATGTGAATCTAGTGCCCTTATAGCCAAGGTCAAGTAGATTACAGTGGTTGAGATTAGACCATAACTTACAAGCACGTCTATGATTTAGTGATCTTCCTCCTAATTTTTCATTTGCTTTAAAAATGTCGTTAAAGTCTCCTCCCACAATCTAGGCCCCTTTGTAATTGTCAGAGATACTTCTAATATTATTCCACATAGCATCTCTAGAACTAACGTTTGTACTAGCATAAATTGAAGAGAATAGCCATTTGAATTTAGTAGGACATACCTCAATTGTTGCATGGATCTCCTGATTTCTCCCAAAATTGTGCACAAACACCTTGGCATTGTTCCATAGAATAACCATTCCACATGCTTGCCCATCCGCTGGAACTTCAATCATATCGGAGAAACCAAACTCATTAAGAAGAGACTCATGGGATATCATTCTTGTCTCAACCAGTGTCACTACACTTGGGTGATGGTGCATCATTAGATCCTTAAAATTCCTTCTAAAGTCTTCATTATTCCCTCCCTTCCCCCCCCCCCCTCTTATNATTCCAAATTATTATATTATCCGGACTAGTCATGGTAAAATCCTGTGTGTGTGAGTGACCATTAAAGAACAAGTCCCTAGGGGTTGTTGAGCTTCTCCTCAGGGAGGGGATTAGAATTATTGCCCTGTTGCCCACTGTTGGGTCGTGAGGAGGACGAATGTCCATTGAACATTTGAGAAAGTTTGGAAGGCAAGTAAGTATGTGCCTCTTCTGTAGTAGAGGGCAAGTAAGTATGTGCTTCTCTAGTACTTCCTTGAATAGAAATATTTTTACCTCGTCTAAGTTTGACAATTCCTCTGTTCATTCCCCCGCTAAGTCTATTTGTTCGTTCACTTCTTCTTCTATTGGATTGCCTAAGTTTGGAGCTCCTGGAGGGTTGAGATTCATTTCCTCCATTGGCATTTGCATGTTTACATTCTGTGGTTGAGGTTGTGTTTGAGGGGGTGGAGCTTGATGTGGTGCCTCTCAAGGCATCAAAATAGGGTTGATGACAGTGAGTGCTTCTAGGGGAAAGAAGGGAAGGTCCAACCCTAGATTCTGAGGGAAGATTGGAACTGGATTGAAGTGGGGGGAGGGGGGAGGTTCCAATGAGCTCTCATTTCCTCTACTAGGTTTTGATTTAGTTGTGGGACTAGTGGTTGCAAAATGTTGTTCACCCACACATGATTTCAATAGTTGCTCATTGCAAGATGGAGTCCCTCGGACACTAATTGTTCTAGGTCTCTTGGATTTTGAATCAAGATCACACTCTCTTAGACATTGATTGTGGCATTAAATACTAGACCCCTCACTATTAGACCTATTTCTATCCAGGACATGGGGTGATGGTCTTGTGGTAGTGGAGATTGGACAAAAATTAGTGGACGATTCTGGATTTGTAGGGGTAATGGTGGTTGTTCATGTTGGATGGACGCTGTTGACTGAGGA